TGAAATGGGACTTAGGTGGAATTCAAGTGCATAAGTCCAAAAAAGTGATCCAGAAAAACACCACTCCAGTGGCCACAAAACCTTATTAGATGAATATACATTAGGCTGCAAAGTTCCTGAGGCACTTGAGCAGTCAGGCACCTCACCAGGGGTACAGTCTGGGATTTCAACTTGGTAGGGTAAGCTGCCAAACTGTGCCCCACTTCCTTGCCTCCCTGGCACAAGCATTATGTTGTTAATGATGTGTATTCCACATAATGATGCACTGCCAAGTTAAATTACATTGGTCACAATCATTCAAAACTATAAGTCACCTAGTAAGATACAAGAAACCACCCTATCAATAGAAGAAGTCCTGATTGATGTAGCTTGGAGGGCTGGAGAGGGTTGTCATGAGGGATTGGCTATGTGCTGCTGGTGTTGAGAAGAGGAAGGCTGTGTGGTAGATTTATGGGGCAGCTAGGTGTAGGTGTGGTGAGAGTGTTGGGGAGATGTGAAGAGACACTGTGTGGGAGAGGGGGGCTGTATAGTGTGAGTGTTGGGGAAGGAAGCGTTGGGGGACGGGGGGAAATGTGGTTGCTCACCTGGGACATGGTGGGGTATGTGAGGAGACACAGTAGGTACAGTTTCTGGGGACAGGGAAATGCCCAGCTCCCAAGATAGCTCATCCCATCCTTGTGCATTGGGAAGGCTCCATCCTATGGGTGGTCCCCATAAGCCCAGGGCAACATGGGTGAGGGCCACAGTCTGCTTTGGCCCCATGGATGTGGGCTTCCCTTTCCCTAATCCATGGCCAAGTCATTAGTCTGCCTGACAACCAATAGGGCCCAGTCCAGCACAGCACCCTGAGAACCCCCTAATCCTATGCATATTTCCACAATGTTGGGTCCCCCTACATCCCACTGGGTCTGGACATAAGACAGAGCAGACCCAAACCCCACTCAAGTCCTGAGAGTTTCATCTACCAGAGGTATACTGAGTACCTGGATACTATTGAGCTTGCAGCTGCTACAGTCACTCTGGCCCTCCTCAGCCTGAGGGGGTTCAAATCTACACCTCCCCTCTTCCACCTGCCAGGAGAGTAGACTAACTACCATAATATAGAATAGTTTTAGGGGTGGGGGCAAGAGTGCAAAGTTATGAGGCCAGAAGGACAGAAAGTTAGAGGGAACCCCATTCAGTAGCCTAGTGGTTATGCCACTCAACATATGTGGGCAACAGGCGTCCTGTGGCATGGATTTTTGTGGATAACCCTTCAGAAGCACCTAACTCCTTCCACTGACTACTTGGATAACCTTGGTGCCTGGCCCTGTTTGCTTGAACCACCCTGCTGGGGTGAGGCAACTAATTTTTAGACACTGTGGTACCTAAGGTGACCCTCTGGAACTCACCCCTACTGGACAAACCAGTGTTTACTTCAAGGCCCCGATCCTGCTCTGAGCAGGTGGAATGGAGGTGGACCGTATGTGATGCAGTGGCTAGCAATGCAGGTCTTCTTGCAGGCTTGTCTCACTGGGTGCATCTACACATGCAATTAATTAATGCACCTGAATAAACTCCAACACAGTTCACGCTGGAGTCAGCTGCTCCTGGGCATAGCGTCTTCATGTGTGCCTGGGACCACAATAGTTAGAGCCAGGGCAGAGCAGCTCTGGGCTGGCAGGGGGTTCAGGGGGTCAGCCCAAGGCTCTGGGTGCCAGCATCAGGTGGTGGAGGGGCTGGCTGGGGCATGAGGGTACTAAAGTGTGGGGCGGGAAACAGGCAGCCCCCGCACTTTTGCGCCCTCATGTGCCAGCCAGCCCTGGTCACCGTCTACCATAGTTAGGGAAGGGCGGAGTGCAGGGAGGGGTTGGTAGCTCCCGCCACTATGCAGGAGGCATGGGGGTGAGTGCCCTCGATCTACGCAGGCAGCCACTATGGCCTGGGGCTGGGACAGCGCTGAGCTCTTCCCGGCTGGGGGCAGGGGGTAATGCTATGCTGGGAGCGGGCGGCAGTGGCGCTGGGAGAGGGGGTGGGGTGGGCTACGGAGAATCTTGGGGTGGCTGCACCCCCCACCCGTAGCCCCCTTCCCAGCACCACTGCCACCCACCCCCAGCATAGCATGCCTCCCACCCCTCTTCCCCCACAGGGAAGAAGCCAGCACTGCCCCAGCCCCAGCACGCAGTGGCTGCCTACCCTGCCCCACACAGATCGGGGATACATGCCCCCCATGCCTCCCAGGCTGTGTGCAGCAGCAGGAGCTGTGCCCCCCAGATCAGTCCCGTGCCACCGGCTGGGCAGCGTCTGCCCCTCCCCTCCCCCCACCCCACCCCTGCTGCAGCTGCCGGAAGCCCCTGTCTGGGTTTCCTTGTGGCCCTACTGCTGCCCCACGTTGTGGGGGGCTAAGCCCCATTAGCCCCCCCTTCCACCACCTATGCCGTCTACATGAATGTTTCAGCGAAGTTAATTACTCTGTTGGAAGCTAGTGCTGTCTTATGGCAGAGTTAAATAATTTACCATGCCCTAAGACTGGCGCTCATGTGGACAGTGATGCTTTACTGCTGAGCTAATTAGTCTACTCTGCAGTAAAGTGCATGTGTAGATGCACTCTCTGTTCAGAATGCCTGTATTTACATGGCTGGCTTGGACACTCACCCCACAGCACTAAAGTTCTTGTGTTTTCATTAACCCTGTTTGCAGGTATCATTTGACAGAGAAAGGCAAGGACATTGCCTTCGTGTTAGAGGTGTCTTGCCCTGCCTGGAATACACATCTGCAACAGTAAAAGAAGGCCAAAGCACTTCTCCTGCATCCTAGGCTGAGCTCTGCCTTTCATTTTAAGGTATTGTCTCTGCAATTATTTATACTCATGCTTAACTTCATATATATGAGCAACATTTACCCACATACATAAAGGGAGGCCTTAGTCTACCCCAGGATTCCCCAGCTACTCAGACCATGTTAACAGAAGTACAAAATAAGTTTCTGTTTGTTCTTACCTTAGATTCAAAACTCAGTCTTCTTACTAAACAGCCCTCAGGTAATGCTGGTATGTGTAGATGTTCTTCACTTGGACAAAAAGGGCATTTTTATGGGACTTCTAATTTCCTCAATGCTACCCAATGTTGAAAAAAAAGGACCAAGAATACTGTTAAGAAGGAAAGAGGCAAGACCTATCAAAGTAAAGCTGAGTCTGGGGGCCCAGAATGAGCCAAAATGTGACTCTGGGTTTGCTTTAGCTTACAGTATCCCAGTACCTCATGACCAGTTACTTTTGCCTGAGTTAAGTTTGAGAAACCGAGATGTAAGTTTTAATCAGTGAAATTAATCACTGAAACAGTCCCTGAACATGAGAAACAATGAGTCAGGCTAAACTTGCCCCCAGAAACTGCTTATGTTTTCTTGAACTTTTGGTTCAAATTAATCCCATATTCTACCCACTTTCCAATTTCTTTTCTAATTTTATACTAATCACTAAACCTACATAACTGAAGTGAAAACTGCTACTTACTAAAACAATTTGAACTGAGTGTATCATAGTGTTATCAAGTGCAGTAGTTTGTGATTACTGTGTGGTTTTTTTTTCCTATACTAGATTTAAAGAAATAGCTTGATCTTTACCCATTATTTAATGTAAAAATCCTAGCAGCTGTGTTCAGAGTTGCTCTCTGGCTTTTGTTCTGTTGCAGAATGTGGATTTTGCTAATCATGGTTCTCAGCTTGATATTTCTTGTTTTCTTTTCTCCAGTAAATTGTTAATTTCATACAGTACATCCTCTAGACAAAACAAGCCTTGTGAGATATCAGCTTGGACAGATGCTGCTTTAAGTCTAATACTACTCATGATCTTTTTTTCAACCATAGGGAAATGTACTTTTACTTTATTTCCATCTTATACCCAATTATTTCCATGGGTAGATCTTAGTGTATTTTTCATGAATATTTTGCAATTAACATAGTTTAAATAGAACCTGTAAAGTTTTGAATTGAGACATCTCCTAAGAAAAATGGATGATAAGATACCTTAGCACTGGAGATTATATATATAAAACATAATTAGAAGTACATATAAAGAAGGATGCGGGTTAACTGAAAATGAAAGGTCTAATTTATCACTGCCTATCCTGGGAAGACATGAATTGGTAGGTGATCTTCAAGTCTTTGGTCTCTAACACTGGCCAGTGTCTTCTGTGTAAGAGAGAGTGCAAAAAAACTATTGAAATGCAGTTGTGGATGAAGGACAGATTCTTCCTAATGCCATTACGCTGAGGTGTGTGTCCTGAAGCATGAAGTTTTATACCAGGGTAAACCAGTGTGTTGTGGTGGTCAGTCAGTCAGGCCCAGAAAGTATTCATTAGGGTCTGGGACAGACACTGCATAGACCGGTTTGACCCAAATCAGTTAAGTCTGATACTACATTCAGCCAGGTTTATCTCAAACCGGTTTCAGCCATTTTCAAACTGGTTTATGTGCACTGAACATCTGTTCTGTTACAGGTTTAAACCAGTTTCTGATCACTTAAACCAGTTTATGTGTAATGTCTGTCCCTAGCCTAGAAGTCATATTTATTACCCTGCTCATAGTAGCAAACTGAAATCCCACAGTATACATCTGAAGAGCAGCTGGTATCACTTCTTGTCAGATTTAATTTTATTCAGCCAACTTAATTACGCCAGTTCATTAAATCATATCTTGATTAAACATTGTGTTCATAGGTAGACAAACTGTGTGTCAAAGAAAATAAGTTAAAATCCACACAGATTCATACTCTGTTGCTTCTGATGTGTCCATTAGCATTCATTACATACTATTTCTTTCTAGGTGAATCTCTGGGCTTTTGCTGAAACAGAAATGGCAGAAGGGTATTTTCAAAGCACGTACCAAACAATTCCCACCCATGGTGTCATTAAAGGCTATTCTTCCTGGAAGAGCTGAAGTTGCGATAGAGACCCTGAGAAATTGACCAGTCATACTCAGAAGTATGAAGAGAATGTAGCTAGAGGAAGTAGTGGTTGGTGAGTCAGCATGAGCAATTTTGTTCCAATGAGAATGAAGACTGAGTTTTTTTTTTCCTCTAACATTTTGGACATCTTTGCTTAATGGAGGGAAATAAGTGATATTATGTCTGTGAAGCTAGGAGTTTTTAGTTTTTTAGCCCACACTCAAATGAAAAATAGCTAGAAACATCATATCTTATCTCCATAGGCACCTTCCTCTTAGGAAAATGGGGGGAAAAGCCGGCAGCACACTGGTAAGTAAGCTTCTGTCCTCTTCATTGGTAATATGTTAGTAGTATGTATGAGAACCTGAGTTAAACTAAGTTGTCCCCCACTGGGGCATACTGAACTGCCTTGTTCAAAATCCTGCATAGTAATGTTAGCAGACTGCAGTTTTGCTGTGTTTTTCATCTGTATACCTGTGGCAGAAATGCCTCGATCTGTACGTTTTTGTATTTCACCTAGTAATAAAACACTGAATTCAAGTACAGTGTGCAGTTGCTTGTTACAGACAGAAAGCTTGACAATGTTAAAACTGTAAAGAAAACTGATCAAGAAGTCAGTCATTAGGTTCAAAAGTTTAGCTCAGTTTGATGTGGGTTATTGCACAAGCCAAGAGAGGGGCTCAAGTTTGCTGTTTCATAGTACGTGCAATGAGGGTTGTCCCCTGTGTAACTTCTGTTGTTGGGAACCTTGCTTTGAGCATAAGGTTGATTTTAAAAGTGATCACAAACCTATGTATATACATGTAATTGTAAGGGATCTGCTTCAGGAGGGATTTGATCCAAAGTCTGCTGACATCACTGGAAAAACTCCCTTCTGACAACTTCAGTGAGGTTTGGATCATGTCCTATATTCCTGACATATGTTGTCATCTTTTTCAAACTATGGAGATGGAAGACCGAAATCTAAATGTGTTGTGCCTTCCTATATGTGTATTGCTGTCCACTGAGAGAGAGAGAGAGAGAGAGAGAGAGAGAGAGAGAGAGAGAGAGAGGGAGGGGGGGAGGGGGGGGGGGGGGGGGGGAGAGAGGGGGGCACAGTGGCAGTCCCCTGCTGCCACCACCCCGACCACTGCTGCTACCGCGAGCAAGCTTGCAGTGTAATAATAAGGAGATACAGATTTATGAAGGTGAACTGTTTCCTATACTATTAATTGGAGCCACTTAAGTGCAACGGTGGTGCTTGTCTTCTGTTGGAAACTTTGTTTTTCTAGCCAATCCAGTTACAGTAAATGAAACTGGGTCTACAGTATTACAGTCACATGACAAGCATTTTTGGTAACTTGCTTTTGTTAAAAAAAAGTGAGAGAAAAACCCCATTGAATTATGGCATGACAGGAGGAAGGGTGCTGCGCTATCACTTGAGTGCGTGGGCTACATGGATTAAAATGAGTCAGCAGTCAGCACACTCCTTACAAATGTCTTGTTGTTAAGATTTTAAACCTGTCTTCAGCAAATAGTCCCATCCCACAGTCCCACATGCCTTTAGAAGGGTTTAACTGGTTGAGTGGCAGTTGGTAAAATGACTGTTTTTAAGCTAAACTGTTGCAGCATTTGCAGCAAACACTTTAGTTGTAGGTGACCAATTTAAGACTATAGCAGGAGAGTGGCTTGTCTCATTTGGCCATCTCTGCTTTTGCAGCTAGAAATGCTTTCCAACAGCAGGTTCTGACTTGCTTAGGCTTGTGTATTGTCATGGATTTCAAGGCTAAAAGAGATTTTGACTCTTTGGGCCTGCTTTGACTTTCTGCACAGCATAGGCCTGAGAGCATCATTCAGGGACCTGTGGGACTGTTTGCTGAAGGCAGGTTAAAATCATAATGTGCAGAGCACAGTGTATTTTTCAGAAAGACATCCAGTTCTAACTAGTTCAAGAAAAGATCCCATTGGGACCCACTGTAGGAACAGGTCCATTGACTGTTTCCAGGTTTTTGGTAATTTTTTGGGATCTATCATTTAGCCAGTTTTTAATCTGTTTAAAATAAATTTAAGGCCAGAATGCAACATTGTGATCTTCTTTATCTGGGCTTCTGCCATAAAATTTCACACAGTGATTTCTGCATGAAACTGAACAACTTGTGTTTGAACTCAAACAGGCAGTAACTTTAAGTTTCCTTTGAAGGGTTTTGGTTTAGAAGGAGTTTCTGAAACATGTGTCCCTGCTATGGTTTCCTAGTCTTCACTGTCAGAGGACTGCAGGACAAGGATCATAAAGAGGGAAAATTCTGTTTCAACTCCAACACTCCCCTGCCTCCAGGCCTTAAAGGAGAGCTGATGTACTCTGCCCTATGTCCCAGTGCATTCTAGGGTGCATTACAAATCAGTTTTCCAGGACACATGGTAGATGTAGATTGCAATAATCCACTCCCCCCGGCATGTATGTGTAATCTGTGCACAGCAGAGAAGACTTTGCCTTTTGGGTATCACTGCATGTCTCTGAGTGATCTTCATGCAGCTCCTAGCCTCCCAGACCCTACATGAAGAACCAGTAATCTTTCCATGAGGAACAAAGAAGACTCCCAACACTGTGCATGCACCCTTACTGTTTCGGAGCCTAAAGGGCTGTAAATTGAGGCTTTATGGGATACTTGTTATCAGGAGCATTCGTTTGGTAGATAAGCTGGTTCTCTGTTTCAGTGTTGCAGTGACCTGGGGTTATAAAAAGAAAAGGTAGCTGCTTCCGTGAAGTCAGCTGTGGCCAAGATAAGTTGAAGAATATGTGCTCCTGCTGTCGATCAATGAGGGCTGGGCTCTGCTGTCCCCAGCATTGTGCTTTCCTGCTGTTGGCAGCTTGTGCCCACCTCTCCTCTCAGCTGCTTGCCTGAGAATGCTTCCACCCTAAGACCTGCTGCAGGAGCCAGTCTGCTTCCTGCCAGTCTCGTATAACCACCTCCCCACCCCCTGGACACTCTGTCCCAGCTGGGCTAGTGGCTGCTAATAGAAATTCATGTTCGCTGAGGTGGCCAAAGGCCAATCTCAATCAGCAAGAAGATAAGAAATCACAGATGAGACTGGGACTCAACACCCTGTGACAGCAACCTGTACCCACATTGTGAAGGCTTGTGCATACATGTGCCATTGTGACTTCAGTGGGACTTTTGTTATGTTGCTTTGTGCCATCACCTGCTCTGCACGTTTACAAGTAGCCCAGGGCTAAATTGGGCTTTCTCTGCACCATCTGTGGTTTTAGGGGCAGAGCAAATGTCCTCCCCTCCATCCCCTCAAGGGTTGCACTGGAGGCATACTGCCTGAAAGGCATAATCCCCTCCCACTGCTCCCTGCACATGGTGGGGTGCAAAAGCCTCACCTATTTAACCTGCAGCTTTGTTTTAAAAAGTATCCCAGCCAAAAACATTGTTTTCTCCTTCATCTGCCACGTGAACATCAGAACACACAATAATAGCATTAAGGATCATAGGTTACCCGCTTGAATGGCTGCCCCGTGTTTGGCATGGAGGGGGTGGAATCAGGGTTCTGCCTGTGCCTCATCCCCATGTCAAATTACTTTGGACTAACAATGCTGCGGCCTCTGTTCTTCCCCAGTACGGGAGCTGCAGCTCTCATGCAAGGCGTAGGCAGTCCTTCCTCCCGCCCCCACACAGCTGTGGAAATGCTACCCTTACTTGGGAATTGATTGGCTTCTTGTCTGTAGAACTGAGAAGTACACAATGAGGTGGAGTAGATATTTGTGGAGTTTCAGATCATTCTTAGAAAAAAAAGGGCTATTGCAGCTGTATAAAAGAGGGGTAATCATTTGATTAGCAAATGCAAGACTCACCGACCCAATTTGGAAGTCAGGCAGACCACTGGGTGCTGGGTGAATGGCACATCTTCAACGGGTTTGTCACTTAGGTCAGAGGGCTGGCTTCTTTTGAGATTCATGGCCATTTATAGGACTGAAGCAAAAGCTTTTGAGGCAAGATAGATCCCCAGCTGTGTGTACTTGATTTCTGTCTGCCAAAGGTTATAACAATGTAGGATTTCCTCTGAATCCTCCAGTAGGTAATGCAGTGAATCCAAGGGTCAGCCACCAGTGTTAAGACAGAATGCATATGTATCCATAAGAGACACTGAGACTCCTGTCCTCGCTCCTGAACTAAAGGCAGGGAACATCTTCCTTTGCTCTGTCGTGTTCCAGTGTGTCCAGCTCAGGACAGCGCTGCAAGGTTCTGACAGAAGTCTTATCTAGGCCTCCTTATCCAAAAGAGCAGATGGATCTGTGAGTTTGAGTACGGCTGGAAGTGAAGGGGGCTTTTCATGCCCATGCTTATAGCTATGAAGCACTGCAGTGAAGCATGTGCCATGTGTTCATGTGAGTGGACAAGCTCCTCCCCAGCAGCTCTCCCGCTTACCACAGAGCTGTCAGTGACTCGAACAAGATTCTGCTTTTTAAGAACTCTTTTTATCCTACTCATGCTTTCGACACATCTGAGATGTGGAAATTCAGCAGCAAGAACATTCAGCAACATTCACTCACTCAGCAAAGCTGGGTCAGCGAGCCCATTAATGCAACAAAATGGGTGGTTTTCACTTTTGCTTTTCAGAAATAGAATTTAAATTATTTTCCCACAGAGCATAATTTTGTAATAAATTAGGCCCATTGTCTGAGTCCTGGTCACAACTTTCTGGGCCCCATGTTGTGCTTTATACAATGAACATTTCAGCAGTGGAAAACCAACCTTGCAATCTTCTGTCTTATGTGCTAGAATTGGCAGTGTTAACATAGGCTTGATTCCTTACTTCACTAATATCTCAGCTATCTTCCCTGCTTTTTACTCCCTAGAGATAGAAATATTGAGCTGGACCCTCCAACCTTGTGTGGAGGAGTTCAGTGGAACTACTTACATAAGCACAACTCTGTATGTAAATAAGGTGGTAGTACTGGGCCTGTTGGGCATTTTTATACATGCAAGCGCCTCAGTACCGGGCGCTTTGAAAAGTGCCCAGCGCTGCGACACTTGCAGTTGTATAAGTGGCAAATTGTGCGTCAGCGCTGAGAAAATGGCAGTGGCACACTTTTGAACTGAAACACCTCGGAGGTGCTTTAGTCCACAAGTGCACCACCACCATTTTCTGCACACTAATGCACATTTCACCACTTCATCAAGTCTGTTCCAAAGCGGCGGATTTCCAACAGTGTGGGGAAAAAAAGTATGGTATAAGTGCCCATTGTGAATATGACGGACTTCCGTAGAGCAGTACCTCTGTAATGAACACTATAACTAGAAAACAGCATTATAACTAGAAAACAA